AGCGCAAAGCCTATTTAGGTACTTTAGCGACGACGAATATCGGAGCGCTGATATCGTCCCATATCGCGACAAACTCAACCGCCATCCCCAGCCGCGAGAGACCAAAACAACAAGTGTTTTTACGCGGTGCGTCATGTTCACAAGCGTCTCTTGCTGACGTTCCCGCGAAGGCGAGCCATGGCTTCGCGAGCGACAACAACAAGCCTCTAGGACGCTCAGCTGCACGATTGAAAATGCTTCTACACGATACGTGCAATGTTTCTAAGCATGCACAATACGTGCAGTTTTTGTTCACACAGTCTCTTGCTGACGTTCCCACAAGGGCGAGCCATGGCTTCATGAGCGACAACAACAAGCCTCTAGGACGCTAAGCGGCACGACTGGCAAGGATCAACGAACACACTACGTGCAATGAGTACAATACACCGTTGAATTGTGTCCACAACGTCTCTTGCTTACGTTCCCACAAGGGCGAGCCATGGCTTCATGAGCGACAACAACAAGCCTCTAGGACGCTAAGCGACACGACTGGCAAGGATCAACGAACACGCTACGTGCGGTGAGTACAATACACCGTTGAACTATGTCCACAGCGTCTCTTGTTAACGTACCCACGAAGGCAAGCCATGGCTTCATGAGCGACAACAACAAGCCTCTAGGACGCAAAGCGATACGACTGGCAAGGATCAACGAACACACTACGTGCAATGAGTACAATACACCGTTGAACTATGTCCACAGCGTCTCTTGTTAACGTACCCACGAAGGCAAGCCATGGCTTCATGAGCAACAACAACAACAAGCTTCTAGGACGCAAAGCGACACGACTGACAAGGATCAACGAACACGCTACGTGCAATGAGTACAATACACCGTTGAATTGTGTCCACAGCGTCTCTTGTTAACGTACCCACGAAGGCGAGCCATGGCTTCATGAGCGACAACAACAAGCCTGTAGGACCCTAAGCGACACGACTAACAACGACGATTCTCGCGTTCGTTCGACTTTCCGCCCAGTCATGCCCCTCAGCGCGACCGCTTGCTCGCCCTGCCGTCTCCAGCGAAAGCAGCAAAGCCCTGGGCGCCAATGAAGCGCTGGAGGCTGGGCGGGGGCACCAGGGTGGAGCCATGACCCATCTGGCGCTCCTCAAGGAACTAACAACACGATGCGATGGGAGGTGGGGCCGCCGGGTACACGTAAAGGGGGTGCAGGGGGTGAGCATTGCGCGCCTAGACAGAGGGAAACCCGCCACAATCACCTCCTCTGGTAAAAGACGATATGTGTGGATGCCAACTTCTTCTCTCTGCTGACACCGGAAAATTCGATGACAACCTTACGTTCTGCTGATGCCGGAAAATCACACGCGTGCCGTGCCGCGAAATCTGGATCACAGAACGCCCCCCTTCCATCACGCTCGTGTACGATACGAACCCGCACATCTAGCGTAGATGCAGAGGAATTGGCTTGAGGGTCGCCCAGAAAATACATGCATCAACATCTGCCGCAACGTTGCCCACTCCCCTCCGCCGTCACTCAGGGATTCCGCGTGGCCTACAGGTTTAACGTGTGAGTTAAACGCTAAATGGTGCCCCCCCAACCAAAGCTTGAAGTCCCAAAAAATCGCATTAGGATGTGGACGCTGAATGCCGTCGAGCCAAGACATCAAAACCGAAAGATGCACGGTGCACCCTTTCAAGGTCCGCGAGAGCACCCACGGTATCTCCAGAGGGGTCTTCTCTCTGGAGCCGTAAATTCGACGAGCGGTTTACTGTGGTTGTGCATCCCGAACCGGCATCTCCGGTGACCTAAGGACGGGTCGCATGACCTTGTTGTATTTCGAAAACACGGCACCCTATGATACGGCCAGCTAAGAGCTAGACAGGTATGCACACCTTCTTGAAGACGTTGCCTTCGGCGGTGTGCTGGAGGAGCCTGGAGAACTCGGCGTACGAGCCGGTCTCCTGTAACAACAATATGCGACGTCAAAAACAGTATATACGGTGGCGGCACAGCGGCAAGAGACAAGAAGACGTACGGCATGGTTCCGTCACGATGGTGGTTGCGACAAAATATGTTATGTCAACAAGAACATGCCACGATACGGCCCAAAGGGGTATCAATGCGGGGAGGTATTGATAGAGGACCGCAGGCAGCATGCGCTCTTGCGCACTATGTATTGCATTAAGACGGGCACGGCAGAGCAAGCACCGCACACGCCGAATCAAACATTGACAGCGTGTCCCAATAAACAGGGGCACCAAACGGTAAGCGATAGTGGTGCCGTTGGCCCTGCGCCGCCGGCACTATCGTACTGCAACTTAAACCACGAGCTTACGCGGAATCAGCATACCTCGGCATGATCCAACGCCCGGCGCATGGCCGGCCGCCACTCCCTCATGCGGATATTGATAAACCAGTTCTCCACCTGGAACGTTGACACGAAGAAAAACGAACGCAACACCACACAAGAGCACGGTTAACAAAACCACACAGCAGACCGAGACACCAAATCCGAAAACGAGGGCGAGGGTGGAAGCACTCCGGAGGGGGAGGGGTTTAACACGCGGAGGGGAATTGATCATAGCCTCGAGACGAACGAAAGTCTACTGGCTCACGGTGACACACTAGCAGCGAGCGCGAGGAACTCGCATACTGCATGAATACAGGCGGGCGTGAATCGTTGTTCGCATGCCACAACAGGGGGAGCAAACGAAAACTCGAAGGGGCTGCGTAATGCTAGGAACAAAGAGACGTATTCACTGCTGTCAAATCTAGCGCAAACCATCGCCGAATCTTGGATCCTGGAATCAGTACGGCAACACGCAGCAACACTGCTAATTATACCAATAGCTATTCTCGGTGGCTTGAACTTGGAAGTCAGTAGTGGCGGTGGATAAACGACGCAGTGAAATCAATCAACATCCACAGTGGCCCGGACGGGCGCTGCACCACAGCAGCTAGTTGGTCAACCAGCATGCCGTTTCCTGGAAAAACACAAAGAGGAAATATTCAAGAAATAAACAGAAACCAACGCAACCCTCTATGGCACTGGTCGTAGGCTACGCAGGCACTGCGGGCATGTCGGGTCGAGCCTGGCAACTATGCATTGCTCTTACTCCATACCACAGACCCCACAGAATGCGCCCAAAGTGCGGAATTCGAAACTTGGATCTGCGGCGTACTACCCAAAGGGAGATCGTATTAATAGGTGATACGCATGTACCTGTTTGGTGGTGATGTCGTGCTTGATAGCGAAGCTATTCTTCTCCTCGTGAGTCGGTACGGGGTCGTCCCAGTGCTGGTCGAGCCAAGTCCTGGCATCGTGTGTTGGTTGTTTGGCGAGAGATGGACAAGCAAGAGCACGCACAGGTCGGTCACAAGAGGTAGGGACGGGTCAGTGTGAGCACCACGAAAAAGTTCTGTCGCAAAACTCTCAGTCAGCCAGCGTAGCACACGTCTAAAGAGCGAAGGATCAAACATGCCGAGGTTAAGGTTTGCTGCTGCAACAGCGCAAGACGAGCGTTCTTGCGGCTCTACGTTATGCGTTGGAACCACAATCTCTTTCTAGGCTCATATCGTTTCGCCGAATGTCTCCCGTTCCCCGCTCGCGTTCGACGACAAAACGCCTCCTTCAAACGTCGAGCAACGTGTGCACGGGTGAGTGATAACAGCAGCACGTGCTCTTTTTTCTTGATACCAATCGGGCGTACAAAATAAACGGAACCAGTCTGCTCTCTTCCGCCTTCTGGCATCGTACAGCCAATCGCAAAACGCCAACAACCGCTGCCGCGAAAGAAAAAAAAAACAATGAAGGGCGCTACCAGCCTAGCTTGCCACCACTGCTGTCCGGCTTCTGGTCCGCCGGAACGCTACCGCGCGCGCGAAAAAACAACACGGACCTCATCTCCTTCACCGCCGCGGCCGGCAGACGGGATCGCTTGGGCAGCTTCGAAGGCGAATCGAAGGTCCTTCCTATTGGGGTGGCTTCGGGGCGCTCCTTCTCCCGCCTCTGTTTTCGCCTCTCCTGCTGCTGCTTTCTGGGCTGCTCCCATGATTCGGGCGGCGGGGTGTTGCTTGCCGGGGATGATGATGCGGAGGAGGTCGAGGAGGAGGCCTTTGCCTTTGTTCCGGCCTCGTTCCTCCCGTTGAGGTCGCGCATGGCTTCGACGGCCCGCTCGATCACCCTTCAACAGCGAACGTCCCGCACAACGTAGGCAGGGTCAGCCAACATCACAATATTGCAACAATCACAAAACCGGACAGTCATCCCTACTTTGGTGGGAGGTAGGCTCCGTCCCTTCGATCAGACTGACACTTGGAGGGCGCTGGAGGGCGCTGGAGGGCGCTGGATGGGCTTCGGAACGTAAGAGTATCGCGAGTGAAGCAGCATGAGGATGACAACAACGACAACGACGACGACGACGGCAATACCTGATGGTGGCGTCGACAATCCTTCCGTTGACGAGAGCGATGGTAAGCTCTTTGACGTCGGGGTCATCATCGGCGTTGCCCACCGTAGCCTGCCCGAACGAAACAAAAGAGAACGTAAAAATTCACGACGAGATCGAGGAAGGAGCACACGAGACGGAAAACACACAAGGATGAGAACACGCTTGACCTCCCAGATAAAACACACAAGGATGTGAGAACATGCTTGACATGCCAGATAAAAAAAAAAACAAGGTCGTCGGCAACCTTTACCAAAGCACAGAATTATCACAACACGCAGAGAAACTTGTTAGGCGCCCGTCTTGTGTGGAAAACCTATGCCCTCGAATTTGGGTTCATGACTGCTCCAAAAATCTGACTTGTTGAGACCATCCGGTCACACCAGGCATGACTGAACACTTCGCAGCAATGAAACAGGCAACACCCGCCAATTCCTGGCGATAAACTGCAGAGAAAACGTGTTTTAGAGACAACACTGTAAGATGCACAGCAGACGAACGGCAAGTGTCTTCGGGGGTAGTCCAAGTCCGCATATATATATTGTTATTTCACCGAAACGAAGAGGGGTGCGGAGAACACGACACAAACCAGGCTAGACTCGTTGCACGTGCTATTCTACTGTACACGGTTGTGCCCCAGGGCAGCCTCGGGAAGGAATATCCCTCTGCGGTCGTTTTGGTGCTCACCTGTACTCTTGCCATGGCAGCAAGCTTCTCCTGAAGAATGGCGTACATGTTGTGCGTGTGGCTGTGGATCTGCTCATGGTTATCGGCGGGTAGTGTTGCGCGCAGGGCGGGTTCGTTGCTTCAAGTGGGTAAGGGTGTGTGTAGGGGGAAGAAATATTCCGTTCAGAAAAGACCGGGGAACACGAAAGGAGGACGATTGGTGTGCGGGTAAGGGAGAGATGGCAACGCAGAGGAGACGATCGATCCCGCTTGCCAGCCGAGTCGCAACAGAGTACCTTCCTCTGCGATTGGCATCACATACGTCTGCTCTTGCAACGTAACCTCGAGCAATGGAACTGTCGTTGAGAGGCGCAGTGTCGGGGGTCAACCGGGAAGAGCAACCAGAAAAAAAAAAAATCCGTTCGAAAAACGAATAATGGTATAACTACTGCCAGGAGGTTGCGTACGTTACCACACACCCGATTTTCAAAGCTCGATTGCTCTGCTGGGGCGAAAACAGCAGTGGCGGCGTTGTATCTAACCGTTTCGTCAAGATCTTTCCGAAAACGTAGCGTTGAGTGTGTGTGGCACTTCTTTGTCGTAGAGTAATGAGTGGGGTTTCACGGGGTAGGTATCGTGCGCAACCGACGGTTGTGTTGGTAGGTTCATGACACAAGATATCACACCCCTCGACCAGTTTTCAGAGCTCGACTACTCCATGACTATTTAAGAAGATATACAAACAAACGAAACGTTTGCGGAAGGTACTTGACGAGACGGTTCCAGGCCGACATTTTCTCCAACGCCGCTCTTGCTGCCGTGGAAAAACGGAACCTTGAGAGTCGATCTAGGGGGGGGGTGATATCTTGTGTCACCTACGGTACTCGGTATAGACACGACGGTAGACATCGACGAGGAGGCTAGAAGTGCTAAATAGTCCATGACATTCCGTTGCTGTGATTATCGATGGTTACTTGAAACGGGGGTGTGATACACACACCCGCCGTGCCCTCTACGAACCGACGCATGAATAATCAACGTGCTCCTGCATTAGGATACACAGGGCCCCGAAAAGACCCTCCCCTCTGCTGCTATGCACCCGCTCTTGTTCTCTTCGGTGCCGTGGAGGGCCGAAGGCCGGTGGGAATTCCAAGGGAATCATCGTAAAGAATCCACGAAAGAATCGTTCGACCCAAAAGGGGTCATCACCACGACGAATGTACGAAGTAACTCCAGAAAGGGCGACCACCGTATCCTACTTGCTGTAGTCTAGACGCTTGGACACGATCTCTCAGACAGCAGTCAGTCCACCCACCTGGTAGCGCACGAGCTGGTAGATCAGACGGAAGCGTCGGGTCTGCTCTTCCGTGGAGGGGGAGTCGAGGAACACCTTCGCCTCCTCCTCCAAGTCGGAGCACGACGCGGCCCTATCGCCGTGCAGAGTCGCCAGGTAGTCTCGGGCGTGCTGCAGGTGCTGCGTTGTCGTTGTAGGGTCCAGCCGCGGCTGCTGCTGCTCATCGTCCTGGTGTCCCACCATGGGAGGCCTCTCCTGCTCCCTGTTGCACGCTACAATTGGATGATGAGAGCAAACGACGCACAACAAAGGGGGGCATATTGTGTGGGTTGTACGCACAGCAGTGCCAACCCGACCCACTCGACGTTGCTGACGGGCAGTACTGCTGCTGCTGCTAATACTAGTTGCGATCTTCGGGAATCCTCTCTATCTCCGTCTTGCCAACAGTCCTGTTTGAGAGCGCGTGTCTCTTCGTTGCGCGGACGTCCAACTCACGCCTTCTTCAAACAGCAAGGGTGCGTGATTGACGATGGACGCTCAGTCAAAGCTTGTGACAACCTCCTCTCACCAGTCGACGTCATATCAGCTGGGATCGGGCGCCCGAAGCAAAGCCTCCTAGTCGATTGGGTAGGCGATGATGTCGAGTGAAGGGAGTAAGTGAAACGGCGGCGTGGTGAGCCTCTTGACTCTTGACTTTTCCGAGAGAGGGAAGGACGGGGGGAGAGAAGAAGCAAAGCGGACCAACCCATTGTTTTCGGGATCTTTAAGACTGCAGGTTTACAGGTTATTGTTGTTGTTGTTGGTGGTGTTGTTGTTGTCTTCACATTAAAAACCGTCCCGATCTCTCTCCACCCAGTACCTTCGTATGTCCGTACTGATCCAACACTCGACGCGGTCGATTCCCGTGGTCACAGGTTAACTTACAAAGGTTATAAGGTCCGTTCATTTGGAAAAAATAAATACACACAGAAATAATTATGCGTAAGCCGCTTGCACCCACACGCACACACAATTAATTCGTCTACATAGCCCGCTCTCCTCTACACCTACGGCGCCGATCGCGCCACTGGTGCTGCGAAGCGGCTAGGCTCGCGCCGGCGTTGACCAATCGGAGGGCGCGCACTTACGTTTATTAAGGAGAGGGCCTCTGACGATAGCGTTGAAATCCCAACAAGCGCAAACTTTTTTTCGGTGTGGCAAGGGGGCGAAGGAAGGGGCAAGAGGTAAAAACCTCTGTCATGAATGAAGTATTGATTAGCTTCGCTGTGTGTTATATACGCCTCTCTCCCCGATTTCGGGTGCAGCAATACCTTCTACTCTTGTAGGCAGGCAAGCGTGTTTATTTAGCGTGTCTACACGCAGAGACATCATTTACTCGCTTGTCGGCGGAGAATTATTATTGTTGCAGTCGACACAGGATTATTGTACTCGAAGTCGGAAACAATTAAAGTGCGGGAGGGTTCCTGCGGGGACCCTCAAGCAAGCAAGTTAGCTGAAGAATTGCGGCAGCTAATTCCAGCCAAAATCGGATTTCCGCCAGGCTTCAATGGCACGCGTAAGCTCATTTCTTTCTGTTTTCGCCATGCCATTTTCAGCGTTCGGCGCATGCCATGATTTGAACGCGAAACAGAGGTGGCATGAAATCGGGAAAAACATCGACGCTGGAACTCGTTCCTCTTTACCTACTACAGTGTATATGGTCCTGAAGTTACCAATTTACTCCCGTAATGCAACCCACTTCAACAATAAAAAGTATATTCACACCGCAACGCCTTCCGCACACACGCGCATCCGCCCATTTCGCACTCATCCCGGTGAGAGCATCAGACTTACTTGACAACATTGTTGATTCAGTGCATACTGTTGGGCGCTTTAGTTGCGCTGCTGTAGCAACCAGAAAACGGTATGATATGGTACACGCCTCGAAGAGCAAACTGCTGTAGTAGTAGTACCGAACACATTTGCCAGCAAAAAATTGCACCACACTGTCGTACAACAGCTAGCTGTAGTCGCTCGCTTCTTGCGACCCAAAAGCGAGGTCAGCACGACACAGATTCTGTCATAGTCTATCCCTACAACCCTATTGACACCGCCTCTATACCGCCATCTTGCGTATCCTCATGCGCTCTGTACATGCATGCATTCGCACCACAAAACCCCAAGCCCTCCGGGTGGAGGTCACTACGCAGACCGATCAGTCCATCCTGTGTAACAGCAAAGAATTCACGAGTCCAACCAAAAGCATTCGAGAAACGGCTCCCGGCGGTGTACTCAGCGGCGAGCGCGCCAAGCCCATTACCCGCACGCCCCAATTTTCGTCGCCTTCTCGTTGTTGTTCAGACTCTAGCCAGAACGAACAGATTTCCACCAAAAGCTCTCGCGACCCGGATTTCTTCGTCGATGAAGGTGGTGTCAATCCAACCGGCGTTGGTGCCGGGGATCTCCGGGAAGCTGACCTTGAACGGAGGCAGCGTCGCCGACACGTCCCGACCGAGAAGCGTTTGCGGCGAGTACTGCGAGCGGCGGAACGAGAGCGTGAGGCGCTTGTCTCCCTCCAACGAAGCAGCGGCGAGGACCTGTCCACGGAGGCAGAATTGAAGCAGTTTCGGGCGCAGCTACCGGCGATGGAGTGAGCGGGCGCCACAGGTTCTCGCGGCGAGAGGGTTGACGGGCTTAAGCACAACCCACGCACAGAACTGAGCAACCTCCAAAGAAGACCACGAGCTAGGTGAGCATCCCGTTATCGAATTCTACCGACAGCAATTATCCTGTTTGCGTGGCTGGCTTTTCAACTACTGTACTCTGGTGCACCTTCGAAACCTCGGTGTTTTCGTTTCTTGTCCAGCAGAGACCTTTAACATGTGTTGCGTTTGTTCGGGGATCCGAGTGGGCCCTCGAGAGTCAGTCGAACTCCAAGGCAGAGGATACTCCGCGCTGGAGTGCGAAGGGCGGGAGACCGCATGGACTTTCATAAAACAGACAAGCCAGCACAGCACCGACATATCAATACCAATTGCCGTGGCTCAAGCCGCATCCTCGAGATTACTCCAGAGCTTTCGTTTGGGCATTCTCTTTGCTTTGGGCGTGCATATGACGGGCTATACAACAGCCGGCTTGCCGATTATGATATGCACGAGTGCCGTGTGCTTCGCGACATGGAAGTCGGTTCGTGGGGACTCAACTCAACCGGGAGCGTTGTTTCCTTTTGCACTTGAAAGCACGCACACCCGTTTTCTCGGGCATCGAACGCTTCCTCATGTTTATTATTCCCAACAACCCATACCAATAGAACAGACAACACATAATCAAATATTTTTCCGTCCCCAAAAGATGGGCTGTGTAGCTTTGTGGCGACGGCATTGTTTTCCGTGTATACGTAGACGATGAAGGTGAAGAGGGTACGCCCAACTCTACTTGCATTTGAAACATGATCATCCGTTAGACATGCAGGCGATATTCGTCATGCAATCCGCACTCCGCAAGCTTCCGGCTCAATCACTAGAATTGATATCCGGGTGTCAATTTCCAATTTCCACTTTGAACTAGGCCTTCCAAACATTGGTAGCAAGCTACCAATACGCCGATATCCGCGTTGGGATATTCTCCGATAAGAATTCTTCCCACCTCTAGTCTTGCCGACGTGCTGCCCGCGAAGCGCTCCAACACCGGCGCCGCCTTTGGCTGAAGGTCAACAACGTTCGTGATCTGCAGTTTCAACAATCGAACAAACAGTCGCATCGACACGGATCCAGAAAGAAAGAGAACGACGGTCCCGCAAAACAAAATTGAGGCGATAAGCCGAATCTGAGAACACGAAAAAAACAAACGAAATCGTGTTGGTTGCTGACCGCAATACCAAGTATCTACCGCCAACCATCACTATCGCAAGAAGCCTGTAGCCTGTACCCAGCCCGGTTAGCCAGCCTCAATACGAGACCAAGGCCGTAGACATGGGGCACCACACCGAGCGGTAGCCTCGGGCGTAATGTATGCACGACACCCCCCCAGTGGCCTCCGAACCCCGACCGCCTGCATCTCCAAACTTGATATTGAAAAATAAAAACCTCAGCTGGTGAAGAAAGGGCCCCTTTGCCTCCCGACATACCTCGGTCCCATCCTCGTTGATATTTTGAAATATCTGACCGACTTCCACGCCTGGGATTAGCCCCAGCGACAGCACGTCCAACGCGGACGTGAAAATGAGCTTCCACTCGCCCGTAAGGATAGAGGCGCCCTCCGAGAAACCGTCGTTTGGCGTCGGATTCGGGTTTTGCCTCTGGTTTGTGCGCATCGTTCGTTCATGGAAACATCAACAACAAACACATCCCGAGTACGGGTCCACGAGAGGTAGGAGAGTTAGTGCACTGGTTGGGTGGTGGTATAGTCATTCCAAGTGGGCGGGTCATGGAAGCGTGCAGGAACATACACAAGAAGGGGTGGCATCGGGTCGGACAATATTCATTGCATTTTTGAATTTTGGTGGAGACATGCCGATTTCACGAGGGAAACAACAAAATGATACGTACATACAAGGTTCCCTGCGGGAGTTAGGTGATTTGCCTCCAGGGAGCGACGCAAGAGGACATGGCCAATCAATGTCATCGCTGTCGCATGGTTGGCCGGCACGACGTTCGGTAGTGCCGGTTTGCGCGCAACCTGCATACTAATTTGCCTGGAAATTGCATAATGTGCGGGGTATTTCGTTTTCTCCCGCCGTGACTTCCGCTTGTGCGCGAGTGTGTGCTTTTAGGCTAGCGGCGCCTTTGCTGCACGTAGGTCCTACTGCTGTGATCCGCTGCGTTTGATCACTCATTCTTCTTGTATGATCATGTTTCCCATCGTCTGTGGGACATTTTCACGCAAACACCAACAACGGATCGAAGAGGCGCTCAACCTACCCAAGAACAGTCACAGATGTAGACTGCTACCGTACCACAACTTCTATATTTGAATTTTTCGATTTTTCGGAATTGAAATTCAAGTGACCGCTGCCAGAGTTGTGCGAGAGGACTTCTGTGTCACGCGGTATGTTCCCATGAGCAGCATCAAGAGTCTTGGTCCCCGCTGCGGGTACTCATGCGCCAGTTGCTGTTGTGGTGGGTGTGTACAACAATCACAGCAGCTGTGTGGGCGCGTGGCGCGTGGCGCGGGGCAAAAACAAGTTATGTTTTCATTTTTCATCCCCTTCGAGGAGGCTTTTATGGTTCGGATTCCCAACCCCTGAAAAAAGAGCCAGTCCCAGCGACTTTAAGCGGCCCTAACGAGCACCACCGGTGTCTCGCGAGCCCCGAACGTAACGGGTAATGTACCGACGGGTCCTCTGCGTGCCATGCAGAAGAAAGTGCGAGATAAAACGCTGTCCCAGCGGAGGAAACCGAAGGCGAGCAGTCGAACACACGAAATGCTGCATATGCATATGTACCAGGAAACTGCCGTCTCTACCATTCTAGTCTACTTGTCGAACTACACACGGCAGTTTGCAAACTACTGCTGTCGCACGCGCAATCAACGGCAGAAGACGGCGCACTTGTTTCGGCGGGACTCAAAAGGCGACTTGGTCCGTGGCCACTCGGGATTTGTCAGCACATTCCCATCGTGGCAATCCTCAACGGGTGGTATTGTACACGTACATGAACAACTGAGTGAACCCACTGCTGCTGCAAGTAGAGGAAGCCTGTGCCATGTGTTTCTAGCTTCAACGAGTGCCAAGGGTATCTACGCTGCGTAACAGCACGGGGCGACGGTGTCCAAGAACGCATCGAGGTATCACCCGTGGAAATCGAGGCAAGTTGTCGCGCAACGGTGGTTTCAGGCGCGCCTCCTGCAGCCGTTGCCCCGAGAGACGGCCGGATTTGCACCGGTGACAGATGCAAGAATCGGACTCTAGGGAGTGCAGGTCTGACAGCCAACATACAAAGTTTGCTTGTGAAGCTAGACCGCACTCAAATCACGTTACGCTATCGGCACGCCATCTGGAGTCAGGAGGCCAAAGCTGTGGTGAGAAATAAAATAGGCGTCAACGATTTTGATTGTGATTCTGATTCGTGACCCTCGCACCTCGAGCTCTTCCACGATCTCCAAAATTTCCTCCTGGTCTCCCTCTCGGCAGCTGAGCCCTCTATTTACCCCAGCGGATGCCCTCAAGAGCCTCGCTTTCAGATCTTCCACCGGCTGAGACAGCAGTTTTAACGAAAAATAACAAGAGCCGGCATTGAACAATCTCCCGTGGCGTGTAAGTCCAGTATCGGAGCTACTCTAAACTAACTAGGACATCTTCGGCATGAGGCTCCGCTCTCAACCCCATCCCCTGTAGTCTATTAGAAGCTTGTCCTAGACCCTGCACAAGCAGCAGCCAGAATTTGCCTCTGCCAGCAACAGCAGCAACAGACAGAATTTGCCTCTGCCAATCGTTTGTTGATCCTTGTCAACACAGCCGGCCTGTTCTGCGAGACTCAACATCACTCTCGCGCGTGTATCAAACCACAGTCCGAGTCCTGTGGCCTACACTACCCAAGTCCACGGAACAGACTCACTCACCTCGTCAGTGGACGTGCTTTCAACGTCCACGATGACGGACGACGAGAGTCGCGACCTTGCCGAGTAACCCGACTTGTTCAAGATGACTCCACCCCCACCAATACCACCACCATCCACCCTTTCCCTTCCTACTGGTGCCCGTCGAATCGCGGAATGGGCTCGGAGGGTAAACGATTGAGACCCTCCTTCAAATGTTACATACGAAAGAACAAGGGAGCATTGAATGAGGGTACAAGGGCTTCATGAATATCTTGCTGATGCGTCTCATCCAGCGAATCATATCCGTGGCGCTCAGCTGGTGGTCGGTGGTGGTGTAAACGTGCGCACGCTAAATTCGGTACAAGATGCAGGCATTCAGGCATGTGCACCACTCAGCAGCGGTAAGGCGTACGAAGTACACTGCGACCGAAACACGTCTGAGATGCAGATGAATCTTGTTGCCGACGGAAAGCCTCCAAGGGGTCCGGTAGAGACAACCAGGAACGTACAGCAATAGCATTGAGTCTGGGTTTTTGTCCGGGGGGGGTGTCTGTTCGAGTTCACTCAATGAATTCTCTCGTAAGCTGAAGAGCATGTGCACGACAATCAGCAGGGGGTTCTTGTGTTGACATCACTGCTACTGCTGCTGTTGGAGTGCAGTCGACGCAATATCTGACAGCGAGATGATGGGTGGGAGACCGAACAACGCTTACCTTTGAAGGAGAGAAGACACAATGCTATTCTTCCGAACCTCGTCATCATTGCACGGTTGCTGTTGGGCAATCCAAGCTCAGCAGGATACACTGAACCCGCCAGCGACAGCTCTGTGTGTGCCATCCAGGTGCTGGGTGAGCAGTGTGTCAGTGACATGAGAGGGGGCCCCGTGTCTGTAAGAACATATCCCCCTTGGTTTCTGTTCGGCATGGAGTGGTTCGGTTCCCAAAAACCTGCCGCCTGCTGCCTCCCACCTCCCACGTCCCACCCTCACCGCTTCCCGCTATTAGCAATCTTCTGTCTGTCTCTCCCTTTCCCTCTCCCTTTCTCTCTGCATTGATTGCGTCTGTCGCTGTCGCTGTCTCTGCCTCTCCCTTTCTCTCTGCATTGATTGCTTCCCGTGACATCGAATGCAACCGCTCCACGTTGCCGAAGATACCCCCTTCCTGGTTATCTGGATCCGCTGCCGAAAGCGGAATCTGTCCTTTCCGTTCAGCACAACTTTCGCCAAGATCCGGGGGGATCCAACGCAAAAATCCAGCGCACCCTCTCCGTAGGAACTTACCCGACAGAGACTAAGGAATGACGGACAACCTGGAAGATATTCTTGGTGGAGTCGAGGACGAGATCCGTCTAGCCGAGGAACGGCTTCAGCAGGACGTCTTTCGGGTCAACAGAGCAGGAGCAGCATCAGGTAGGCAACCGCAGTACTGCTGTAGGTGAGAGATAGAGAGGGCGTAGGGAGCAGAGCCTGATTCGTGATGTTGGCACAAGATCTACAGCGCTAAACTACAGCCACTGGTGAGCTTGGAGTGGACAGGATATGCGGCAGCAGCCGGCGCCTCGCGCACACACCTATTTACCTGTAGTTCGCCAAATGTACAGGTCACAGAAGAGGGCGTGCACAACCTGGTGGGTACTGCTTAACCATCATTGCAGACCGGTTGTCTTAGGAAAAAGCGAGAGAGAGCCCTGTTCCAGAATCGTTAACAGAGCGGATTACGGAGAGTCAAAAGGGAGATGTAGTATGCACACGCGTCTCGCCTGTTCTGTCTGTAGTTTCCTGCATAACTGTCTTTACATTTCTGTGTATGCCATCCAATGAGATATCCGGCATCACGTCGCCTGGAACATAGCAGTGATTTGGTTGCTGCCTAGACGTAGGTAAGGCGCACAGCGTCTGAAGAATATCAGTCACGAGTGTTGCGGCATCTTGCTCCTCCTCCTTCACTGCGAAAAGGACAGATTCCAATGGCTGCTCATGCCTCTTTGGTTCTAGCAGGCAATCAAAGCCCACTGGCAGGGTCAACCTTCGACTATGAGAGCGATGGCGAGCGTTTGTCGGAGGAAATCAGGCCGGTTTTCCCTCGTCGCGGTCTAGCCACCAGAAGAAGAACGCCGTCATTGAGGTTATCCAGCGACGGTGGGCCCTCGATGGGCGAGATCCTATCAACGGACAAGACGTCCCCCAGAAGCAACACTATGAGGGGGGGATCGCGACGCCGCGCCTGGGTCGACCTCGAGAATGACGACTTCCCGAGCAGCATAGCAAGTGGTGTTAGCGTCACTCGAAGTGAACGGGGCAGCAGGTGAGGGAGATCGCTTACATCAACTGTTTGCATGCATTGTGCAAGCGACTTTTAAAATACGCCGACATGCCGCATACATCGATGGACATGCGAGTAGCCGGCCCCGTCGTGATGACGACAACAGGCTACCAGCACGCACGACACACGACTTTGCACCAACTTATGTAGCATTCGTCAAGATCGAAATCTGGAGCAAGCTACAGTACAACCGAACTATAGGGTACCGTGCGCGGTGTATATTCCTGATGTGTCTTCCGGCATATTCCTCAGCTACGTCTCTCAGTGAGTAATCTCTGCGCCACTCCGCCTGCCGATGTAATCATGGCACCTTGGTTCCCTTCGCTCTAAAAAACCCAACAAACGAAGAGCACACGACCGTGAAGCCATGGTCAACAGACTGTTGCAAGAGCGGGAGGCGCGGTTGGCCGCACGAAGTCCTGGCGCAGCCGAACGAAGGATGCCCGGGAACGGCGGAACTGCTGAAGGGAGTGGAACCGGGGCGGTAACGCACCCAGAGACAGCAACGCTGAGTTCTAGCAGAGCGATTCCCGGCGGTAACGGCCACTCCTCGGCAAGGGTCGAGGAGGGGAGTGGCGGCGATGACGGCGACGGTAGTCCCAGCGCCGCCAGGGAAAACATCTTCTTCGCGTCGGACCTGGCGTACCCGGACGACATTAGCCAAGGCGGTGGTCCGAACGTTCACGCAGGCGCTGACGGAGCGCGAGCGGCTGCGGGAGAAGAGCCTGTCGAAGCGCTTCTCCGACGCCTGCACGACGAGGAAACCCACGCCGACACCGACATCAAGGACAACGAGCTCAGCTGCATCAGTGTCGCCAGCGCTGCGCGCAGGTGGGAGCAAGAGGACGCCGCGATGATGCTGTCGCCACCACCGCCAGTGCCACCGCTTGAGCCGACCGACCGCCACTCACCGGAACACCCTAATGAGAGTCAGGCAGCTGACCGCAGGGTTCGAGAAGGAGGGACGGTCTCTTCGTCGCGGGGTCATTCTCCAGGGGGACGGGTTGCGGCAGCAAGAAGAGGTTGAGAAAATTCACGGCGTGGTGCATGGATATTGTATTACGACGGATTGATTCACGGTTGTTCTCGTTGCTTGGCGGGCTGGAAGGGTTGACCAGTTCTATTTCTCAACCATTGCACATGAAGATGAGTGCGTGTACAGCACAGCTTTCCTTAAACGCCTGCCTTGTGAGTGGACTTTATGCGTCTTGCTTCTTCTTTTTCCGAGAAATACTTTACCATTGCCGTTGTTGCCGGTGTCGTATTTGCTGTCATCGTCACTTTTCTGTGGTCGGTTGCCGCTCTGCCCATATCGTAACTGCCATCGTTCGTACAGGACGCTGCAGAGTCGAGGAGAGCGACAGACATCCAACCGGCAGTGCTAACGGCCGCTTCGTAGATGAGGATGACGCAATGGCGACGGCGCGACTAGAAGACAGGCTCGCGTTCCGGCCAAAGGAGCGGGAAAACAAAAACCGGTCCTCTCTACAACAAAGGAAGCCACGAGCCGGCAGCGAGCGTAGGATTAAGGTCAGTATTATCGTTCGCCCTGACCACGAAGAAAATGTTTCTCGTTTTGCTCCGTTCTGAGTGAGTGTACACAAATCATTGGCACGAGTCTCGCTTTTGTTCCGTCCCCCCCCGACAGTTCGACAGATTCGGGAAGACATTTTTGAGCCACCTTTGGCAAAGTAGGAAGGGACGATTGGCCATCGGTGATCGGTCCTGTGGGAACAATGCTCCGTTCTCTCGAGGACGCGAGGTCAATGGTCTAACCGCTAAGGCATGCACAACCAAAGAGCACGACCCCCCTTCCTTCCCCCCTCCCCTGGCCCCCTAGTGGGAACCGGTGCACCCTTTTTGAGATGTGTCGTCAACACTCTGAAGGCTGAGAGAAAACAGAACAGAGTACCCCGCCCCCCCTATGCTTCAAGCATTTCCAAACACCCCCCTCCCCGGCGTGCCGTTGAAACGATGACGTCATAAAAAAGGAACTCGCACGCGATAGGCAGGCCCTGTACTCCGACCGAGAGCGGAGGCGGAAAGAGCTGCAGGAAGAGGCGGAGACGAAGGAGTGCACGTTTCACCCTAACATCGTGTCGAGTAGCGCGGCGAGACGGGGCGCGGCGGGTCATGGTTCTGGCGGGGCCGGTGCCAGACGGCCACCACTCCACGAACGCTTGCACAAGGAGGCGCGCGAGAGAGAGGCCGCCAGAGCGCTGGCACATCACCATCTGGAGAATGAGGCTCTTCGGGAGTGCACGTTTCAGGCGCGTGGTGCTTGGTGGGGGGGGGACGGGGGTCGAGAGGTTGTCACTTTGTTGGTCGTCTTTGGCTCTTCCGTGGTATCTCTTCGGGTTTGTTGCGGGATCTTAGCTGTCGCTGCAGCCTTGTTTCTGTCAGTGTCTGAGGTGGTGTCTTAGTCGTCGGCCTTCATCTGTTGATCATTGACCATTGCTGTTGTTAACACACAAGGACACAGAAAACCTGGGTCGCCGTAGGGCTTCAAGAGCCTGCGAGTATTCTCTCACGTAGATCCCGACTCACGTAGATCCCGACTAGGCTCCTCACCGTTACATAGCCATGAAACCCACTCTGTACTTGTTCAAGTTGTTTGTCTTGGTGAACAGAGGTTCCAGTTGAAGGGGTTAGGGAACGACGGTTTCAGAATACCTAACATCAAAGAACGACGGTTTGTGAACACCCTCAAGTGTTTCTGCCGACGGGGGCTGAGCGTTGCCGTGTGTCAGACGCTCAGAGCCAGGAACCTGAAAATCACCCCGCCTTTACAATTGCGTCCTGCCTTACGCCGGAATCTCACCCGCCCGCGCACGGAGATGCACGCGCATGTCCTCGCGATGTAAACCCCTACGCCCACGCCACCCCCACCCACCCCCCCGTCCTCATCCTCTGGGTCAGTGCTGATGCCCATTTTTGCCATCCTCCCTCCCACGCAATGATCACTCGCACAAAGCCGCTTATCCTTAACCCTTCATCTCCACCGAGTCCAACCCCTCCCCTGTGTGGCTTCAACAGCCGACGCTAAACACCACCGGCGCGGTCCCGGCGGCCGATCACCGGCCACTCCACCAGCGAGTGTGGGAGGTCGAGCGCGAGCGGGAGCACAAGCTGCGGCTCCTCGTGGCCGACAAGGAAGAGCGAGAGGGGGCCACGTTCGCGCCGCCGCCGATGGGCCGGGTGAGCGAGAGGCTAGCGGACACCAGGCCCGCGTTTGCTGGGGGGGGAGGGGGCGGGGCGTGCGGGGAAGGCGTGGGGCGGTCGGCGACTCGCCTGCAGGAGCAGGCGATGTGGGCAAGAGAACGGCGGCGGCTCAGAGTGCAGGAGCACGAAGAGGTGCGTGCTTTGTGTAGGAAAGCGTCGTGTGCGCGAGCGGGCAGTACACCGATGGGGAGAATGCTAGTTTGCGTTGGACGAGGAGGTTGGCTACAGGAGGTGGTATTCGTTTGTTCTGCTTTTCTTTTGGTGGAGCTTGCTCGCCCCTGTCTTTGCTCCTGTTCCCCCCCCCCGTGGCTTTCGTTTTCTCTACGAAATGGGGGCGGTCGGCGCAACCACGTGCGGCGCTGCGAAGCCGATCACCTCCTTCTTTTGCCAAGATGTACGTACAACGTCTGTTGGACGTGCTTTTTCGTCATGCGGACCTCGATGGACTAATTAAATATGGTCACCTCTCATCGCCTTGGCGTCCATGCACTAACCTATGCGAGAGGGGGGGGGCTGTGCCAGCAGCTAGCCGACTCAAAGTCCAGCCGTAGGCAACGCAACAAAAACCTCGACCCTACTCAACACCCCATTCTTGTCTGGGCACCCTTCGCCCCCGTCTGCCTCAATTCTTTGTCCGTCACGTCCCGGCCTGTCTTTGCCACCCCTTTATCCCAAGGCCGAAGCTCGCATGAGCACGTTCGAGCCCAGCATCAGCCGAGGTACCAAGTCCCTTGTCCGAAAGCGGCCGGATCTCCAGGCCCCGTTCGAGCAGCGTCGGGCGATAATGGACGCGAAGAGGAAAGAGCGCGAGCGGCTCCGCCAGGAAGCACGGGTGGGTCCGATGGGATGAATCGAAGGCTCGAGAGGGGTCATGCACAAAGTAAGGTCGTGAAACATGTTTTCGCACTACGCGTGCGGTGCACGTCAGGGTGTCAAACGTATATGCCCTCCGCCCCTTTCCGTTCGCCGTCTCGTCGTTTTTGTTGTTGACGAACAAACGAAAAAAAAATGGCAGGCCAAGGAAGAAACGGGGTGGTTTAATCCCACTACCGCGCAGCGGACCGATGCGCTGCTCCGAAGGCGAATGCCGGAGAGGCTAGAGGAAACGGTGGAAGAGAGGGTCAAGAGGATGGCGGCCGCGGATGACCATCGACGACGGTGCGACCGAAACGGAAATAACTCCCAAGTCTTATGTATGTCGAGAATAGTTTTCGGTGGACACCATTTCAAGTCGGGCGCACACCTCAGGCGGTATGGCCCGAAAGCACGCCAAGCGGGTGACAGGAATTGTACGCGAGATAGAGTAGAGTATGCCGGTGAGGTTCGATGCATTGAGCAGCGCACAGATTGGAGGCCAGGCGTTTCACCAACCGAACAGAGGCCTTGAACTTGGCGTGTGAGTCAATAACTGAACCAAGCGAGCTGAGTGTCTTTCCTGCACGAAATTCGCCTGCCCACCCTCGCCCTCCCCATCGGTCTATCGCTGCTTGCTCTTGCTCCCCTTCTCTACAGGAACTTCGTCATGACGCAGAAAGCGAAGGAGAAGCTCGAGTGCACATTCCGCCCGTCCCTTAACCCGGTGACGCACTCAATGGCCCAAGCCTCCCCGCTGGATGAGCTCGTCAACAACCTCAGGGGGCAGCGGGTCAGGGAAAGGGTGAAGGCCAAAGTCAGGTGAGGATGGTCGACGGGACCGCGTCTCGAGCGGGTGCCCATGCTGCCGCCATGCTATTGTCCAACACCTTCTGATACCACCATAACAACAATATTTGCCGCCTACGTGTTGCAGCCTCCATGCGATCCCATCCAGCCCTCAAAAAGCTAGTGGACACTGCGCGGGATAGAGCGAACTCTCTCCGCATCCCCCCCTCTCTGTTTTCTTGTTCCCGGGGAGCGTAGTCGATACCCACTCCTTTTCTCTTGCTTAAGTTCCAACTGCCAGGTGTCTTTGATCATGCCACGTTCCATCCCAAGCACGAGAGATGCCCACGCCCCTCCCCCCTCGTTGCTGCAATCGTCCCCCCGCTCCGTGGTCGCTCCGTGGTGTACGTCTCGTATTCTCGCGCGACTAATTTCTTGTCTTGGGTGGATTCCGCTCCCGCCGGACTTCGCGACAATTGGGAACACCCCAACCCGACACAAGCAGCGATGCGCAGGCGTGCTCGCACAAACCTACCCTGCTAGCGGAGGCTGCGCTGTTGCACACGGACGCGGAGGGAGCAGGGGCGTCGCGGGATGGAGGGGGGTGCGCAGGCAGCGGTGGAAGAGGCGCTGCTGCCGCTGGCCTTTACGGCCCAGGCAACAGGTACCGGCTGAGCGTGCGGGAGCCGGCGAGGATGACGGCGGAGCTGCGTGCGCGGGAGAGAGAGCAAGAAGAGAGGGTGGGTGATTAAAGCGAAGGGGGAGGTACACTCTAGCTAAGGAGACAGAAGGAGAGCAAAACATACCGGGAGGGGTAGACGGCAAGCGGCATACGCCGAGATCCGAACATGAATAGTCGGCGTGCACCCTCTCTTGGTACGCGAAACAAACGGCATTGAGTTGTTTTCGTAACGACTCAACGCGCGACCGTATACTCAATTATGTTACTTGCTTCACCAGCATATGCCTTGTTGTTGGGCTGTGGTAAGGCTACAGGAAGACGTCGGTGCGGTCTTACCGTTCGTTCACGACGCCGCTGACATGTGTCGAGGTACGCGGTGCCGTGGTTCATCCGTTAGGCCCTCACAGCATTTTTTACGTATCCCGTGCTCCTGCCGTCAAAACACCATTAGTTCAACGCTCTCCGACAAGAGAAAGAAGTGGCGGAGATGCAGCGATGCACCTTCGTGCCTCAGACGAACTCTGCCATCCTGCGCGCCGAGGGGCCGGTGTTGGTCAGGGGCCTCGGGAGGCACCTCGAGCTTAAGGACGTCGCTCAGCAAAGGGAGCGAGAGAGGCGGGAGCGGGAGGCTCGAGCCTTCGGGGTACGGCCCAGGGCGGTGAGGCGCAGCGTCTTGGGCGAGACGATAGTCGAGCCTTTCTCTCTCAGCAGCGACAACAAGGGGTGGTGGCAGGAGAGGAGGATGAGGCACGAGGCGGAGCGCGCGGCGCAGTGCACGTTCAAGCCGTGGACGGTGGAGGCGGAGAGGGGGCGGGCGCTGTCGAGGCTGCTCGACTGGTCGTCGGTGCTGTCGAGTCAATCTTCGAGAGGGAGCTAGAGGAGACTAGATTTTCACTTGTAGTTTTCTAGCGCCTGGTTTTCGTTTGGTCCAGGGAAAATATTACTATTATTGTGGTTTACAAGTATCTAGAAATTCATGGTGTCTTGCTGGTGGAGGCGATGATGATGATGTTGGCGTGTTGGTTGTGGTCTCAGAGAGAGAGAGAGAGAGAGATAAGGAGAGAGAGAGTGTTGGCCGATGATGTCGACATTGTTAACCAAGCAACGTCCACAATAGAGAGGGAGAGAGAAAGATAAGGAGAGAGAGGGTGGTGGCCGATGATGTCGACATTGTTAACCAAGCAACGTCCACAATACTCGCCACCTTTGCAGTGGCTCGAAGAGAGCGTTGTTATTGTTCACCTTGCTTATCAGAAAGGGATTCGTAACAGGCCCCAGGCCAACGCAAGATATCACCCCAGGAGGATCCGTGACATACGGCACGTCCGGTGACCCTACGAAAAAAAGTGCTTCGTCGTCACGGACTCAAGGTCCTATTCACGCTCGGCATGGTGAACGTCAATGTATTACCTACCTGTAGGTGACATTAGATATCATACCCGCTGGACCGATTTTGAAAGCTCGATTATTCCTCGACCGAAGAGGATGTACTGTATCACCAAATATTTTGTGTTTTCGGAGAGGTACCTGACGGTTCCAACGCCGCCGTTATCGACGCCACCGTTCGTTCTGCCGTGGAGCAATTGCGCTTTGAAAATCACTCACGCGGGTGGGTGTGGTATCTTGTGTCATGTCACCTATGGTACGCACGGCCTGACCTGAGAGAGGAAATTATGTCAAGTAGAGCTGATACACACGTCTACAGCCGCGGGGGCGGGTTTGATCTTGGTTAAAATGAAGAACTGCAGGATCCACACACCAGGAGACAGCTGCCAGGAGACATCAAAAGAGTTCTATCGGGTCCCGTGGTGCATAGTATTTTATATTTTGTTGGTTTGCATGTCTTTTGTTCGTTTGATCGTTACATTTTTTCTCCAATAGCGGACTCGTCGACGGGAAGACTATACTATAATACATAACGTTGTCAACGATCACCGCCTTTGTTTTCTTGGATCGGTCATCATCACGATCCTCTGTATGTTCAATGATGCAATGCCTGCAACTGATGGCAGTAGAGAGAGGTAAGTGCGACAATTCCCACTCACTCGAGGCACTTCTGCTGCCAACTCAGTTAGTAGATAAACACACGCACTTTCCAACCACGGGGACGAGGAACTCGGACCATCCGGAGTTCCCGTTCCAGAATCCAGAATCCGTTCCAGAATCCAGAATTGCTGGTTCCAGAATTCAGAATTATCCGCAAAGAGAACAGTAGTAGTAGGAAGAGTAATCCAGCGCGCGCGCGCGCGTGTTTCGCATGGTGAGGTAGGTGTGATGAACTGTTGTGAACGATCAACGCTCGCTGCGCACAGAGGGGACAACAACAAGAACCATTCACTCAATGTTGGTCTGGTGCTGCCTATTGTTTTCTTGCAACATGTGACGCTGGACAAGCCCGCCAACTTGGCAGTGTGACCTTCGGTCAGATGGCTCCCGTATGCCGTCTTGAGAGCGGTTAGTTTGTTGGAGCGCTGCACACACCATTTGCAACCTATCTGCAAATAAATGTACTTCTAGGCACATGATGAACAAGTACGATCAGGCCGCGCTTGGTGCGAAATCCGCATCCATCCTCGAGTGCTGCTGCGTTTTGATATCTATCTCCTGCAACGATATCATGATCCCAACAGACAAGAGCCAAGACACTCCCATACCACAACATTCTCGAACCAACCAGAGAATAGTTTATCACCCAAGCTTAGAATCCTCCGTCATTTGCCAACGACCAGCCCGGCTCGGACTGCTGGGATATCAGGCAAGATACCAAAGGATATCATATCTGCAACAGGTCGAGAGGTATCTCTAGAGCGTCTAGTGGATTTGTGAATGGCTCGAAACGCGTGAAGTTTGGACTACATGTAGATGGTTAGCAAGATGCAAGGCGGTGGAGAGATGTCGCATCCACATACCCCACGGTGGACTACACATGTACGTGTACGTACGCACACGCAATCCATCAAATCTGCACGATCCTTTCAACACGTCCCTTCCTGTCTTAAAGATCCAAAACCCGATTTATTGACGCACCGTGATAGCACTGTCGAACAACGACCCCTTCTCACTTACACGCCGACTCTCTCCGTCCACCCGAATTCTGCAGCAGCATAGCACACCCGCTCCAAGGATCCACCTGCACATCAGTGGGGACACAGGATCCCATAGCAGCAGCGTTGGACATCGCAACAACACCGCACCGACGTGGGCACCACAATATATTCCGAGACATAGAAGACACGTAGCATCATCCCATCCACCCGCGGGATTCGAAGGACAGGCCGAGAGGCGAGGTGGGTGCGGCAGAGATAGATGCGAGAGGCGCTAATGGGAGAGAAGAGTGGGAGTGGGAGACACAGACAGACAGGCAATACATGTAGGTGTGCGTGTGGAGCTTGGGCGGAATAAGAGAATGAACTGACCAAGATCTCCACCGGTGCAACTTGGTTGGTTGATGTTTAGCCGTTGCCCGCGTGTCTTTTCGGCGCACATTTCGGAGACAAGATCCACGCACACACGGTCACACCTTACAGACATTCGAAGACAGTAAAGGGCGATGCCGAAAGGGCACTTTCCACCAGAGTCCAACCATCCATCGTCGGGAAGTACAACCTCCGATGGAGCAGCTACAATAACACTCTACCTTCGATCCTGCTGTTTGATCGGTCAGTCGGGTGGTGGATGGACCGCACCGATCGGAGAACAAGAGGCCGATCCTGTCCCCAAGGGCGTGGATGCGTCCACCAGTCAATCGGCCTTCGTACACCATCCTCTCTCCGTCGACTACTCTGCAGTAGTTGCGACGGCTAGAATTTCACGACTTCATGTACAAGTAGTAGGTGCACTGGTAGGCACAGATTGTACGAGTACCGGCTGTTGAAGCAAACCTGAAAGATCTCTCCGCACAATTTACTGCTAGCTGCTGTGAAGTCAATGCTGCCGCTGTAGGTGCTATCTCGTCGGAGAACGCTGCGATCTTGTAGACAACATGTTTATATTTTTCCCCGCTAAAACAGTACCCTCCCACTTACTGTAGTCACAGAGTAAAATGTCTATCTAGATCGTGCCTTCCGTACTGAGGCGCTACATGCCCGCATCATTGCGGGGAAGGATCCTCCCTCGGCAACAAGACGGTAAAAATTGGTGAATGAACCGATACGTTGCATACCTTATTGCTTCATGTAGGTGGGAAGTGCTCCATAAAGCAATGTCCATGTATCTCCTTACTCCTAGTCGATACACGCAGTTACGACACAATATGGCATAATTAGGTTTTACTACAACAGCAGTACATAACGAACATCAAAAATAGGGAAACGTTAGATACCACCCCCCACAACTATTGGACACGGAAAAGTTATCACGGGGATGTGTTTCTCTTGTCGTACTACGCTATTTAGTTAGGCTTTGAGCTACAGTATACGACAACAACAGCTGGGCCTTTGGGTACGTGCGACAGATGATATAAATATAGCGTATGAATGGCATCGAGGAGGAAAATACTGGTGTGTGTCCCGTCCCCAAGACATAATTACCCCTACCGTTATAAGGGTGGTTTGGGGAAACTCTCGTCGAGAGATTTCTAGACGTGTCTGTCTGTCTGTGTTGGCACCCTTCTCGTTATGGAGAAATCGAGCAATGCGAGTCATTTTGCGGGGGGTGCGCACAAAAAAGGCACCTGCAACCAGGTACGGCGGGGACGATGCAATGACCATGCCGCCTTTCACGAAATATCAGCGGCAACTTTCTGGACACCATCGTAGGAAGGGTAGCAAATCGCAACGAGCGACGGACTCTGGAAACATATCACCTCTTGACAAGATCGTGCAACGCCACTCTGTGATAGGGGCCATCATACCTCGAACGGTACAAACAAGTTTTGCAACCTAGGTTGGTTCTGGGGTCTCTTGGTTTTCGTGATTTTGAAACCTACTCGTGAGCAATGCGACAAAAATATGCCTGCCACCCCTCTTTCATTTGCTGCTCTCTTTTGTCATCTTGTTTGTCCCGTTGACCTTTTTCTCTTGTGTCCGTCTCCCTTTATCGTCCTCCGTTCCCTCTTTCTTCTCAACCTATTTTGCGTCGCCACTTCGCCCTTTGTTTCCCCCTTCCGCCAGCTACAGGCACCAACCACTATCCCCCAACACGCACACCACCGCTTACTACACACTACACGCCGGCCTGTTGCCAACGGACGGCGATCCGCAGAACCTCCGGGCTCGACTAGACTTCCTGCCTCGACCGACAGGAAGATGATGATGTCGTCACTCACCGGCGCTTGGGTCTTAGACGTTTACAGGTACGCGCACTTTCCCCTGGTGGTATGGTTCAAGTCGGCCACTCTCTCCAGAGCAACGGTCTGCAACATTCGGACCATCTCGCGACGTAACTTTTCTAGTGTAGCACCGCAGGAATTGCTCACATTTCGTAATGCGAAAATCGAGTATCCAACGCGGTGATGGCAGCATCTACGCTTTTCGAAAAAAAAACTTGCCCTATCGGTACGCGAGGATAAAGAAGCTAGTATATTGTGCAGAATGTATGCGTGAGAAACGCTGCTAATGTGCAGTCGGTCGAGACTACCGTCATGTGTGTGAGTCATTGCATCGTTGGCCAGACTCGTGCTCTAAGGGGGCGGGGTTTTGGACTACATCCGCTCCCTCTCTCATTAAGCGTAAAGACGACGGCCATGAGTGAACATTGAGTCTCCCCGCTCAACCTTCCGCTACCCTATCTTCTTCCGCCTCTGACGAACGAACATGACATGTTGTCGATTTTACCTTCGCTACCGCATTAACGAAACGTGGCGTATAAACCTGTGATGATAAAGGTCCCTAAAACACCTGCTAACGCCAAATGTTGGAGTGTAATGAACGCTGCATGCTACAAGCAACCGCTAGTTAATGGTACATACTTTACCGCATCGACCTGTTACCTCAATAGTCTTGCCGTCCATTTCGCAGTAGATCGATCTCCAGCAACATTGGTGTTGAACGGGGTCGTCGGGGCGACAAACGCATACCTACTTTTCGGCGGTATTCCCCTCCCCACCAGGGAACATAGAAGCTCCCCCCCCCCATGAATGTCTTCCGAACAACTCAGCGTCTCTGTACCCCCGTCTTGCCGATTAATTCTGGTTGTGTCCTGTACCCAAAAAAAGATCGGACACTTTGGAAGCGTACCTCCGATGCATGGGGGCACCAGACAGGGTCGTTGAGGCGCAACTGGCCGGAGAGCAAGCCTGCCCGTCGCGCAACGTTCTCGTTCTAGACGACTCCCGCCTCGTGGTGCACAAGCACACTTCGGTCAACAACTTAACCGAATCGTGAGTAGGAGAGAGTGCGAGCGAGCAAACAGGCTGCACTGCTGTGTGGTGGGTTGTTGTGCTGCGGATCGACTGTTCCACGTATGCATGCGTCTGGTTTTGAGAGCAACGCGCCCAGCTAGACTCATTGCTGCTGTTGTATTTTGGTGTTTGGTTATGGTATGCTGAAGTAGAAGTGACCCCAGCTGGTGCGTCAAGCATATCTCAGAACGGTGTGTACTAGCGCCCAGCATTGACAGAACGAACACGCACAAACACACACAGTGGCCACAGGGTTCGACGTTTTTCAGCACACAACGGCTATCTATCGTGTTGAGATCGAAGTACTCATGTATTAAATAAACCCGTGAATGGTGCTCTTGGCCAATTCACCTTTCTGACGTCGTCGATTGCGGGTGTTGCAACAACAGCCAAACGAAAATGCCACGCTTAGTACTTTGGGTGAGCCTGTGGCCGCGCAATTCGTTCCCTTCACGTGAAAAGTACCGAACAGGGGATTGGGCAGATGTCAGCACGCTCCTCAATGTCAAGACCACAAGAACGGCAACGTTTGATCTGCAAGTATCCTCGAAAGTGCACTGACTGCCAGATCCCTCCGCCCCCACCCTACACTCTTGTCGTGTCACGGTCTACTAGAAAATGTGTGCATGATTATGATTTGTTTAACAAGTAATGTGTTGTTGGTCCTTTGGTTCGTGTCCGGCTCGGTGTGTGACGACAATCTCCTCTTCGTACGTACGTGTGCTCCTTTTCTCAATACCCCACCCCCCTCACCCCCCCCCCCCTCTCTCTCTCTCTTCCTCTCTTTCTCTCTCCCCCTCCCCCACACACCCCTCTCTCTGTGTGAACGTGTTCACATGGGCTGTTTCAGCTACGAGCTGGACCAAGAGAGAGTGACTCCGAGCACATACGGCGAGAAGCGAGCCATCGCATCCCTACTCCAACCTGGCCGGCACGACGCCCTCGCGATCAAGACCGCTCTACCCACGGACACCTCCGACTTCGGCCTGGTCGAAACGAGGCGGCTTGTGGGCGATGGATCTACCCACATACAGGTATGTCTATTTTCTTTCTGGGGTATGTTAGGGTTGTTGTTGTCTTCACATTCATTCCCCGTTCTGATCTCGATCCAGTACCTCCTGCCCCTCCTTCATGCTCTTCAAGGAAAGCAATTTCTGTTGCCATAGACTACCCGAAAGAAACGTGCAATGGTGTCGTCATCATCGGTCCATTGCTCGTAACCTGAGGACGCATATATATTGCTTCAGTTTTAAGACTCTCCGTGCTGTGCCAAGCTCCTCTCGGAACTGACAACCTTCTATCACCTCTCTTGAGTTGTTACTACCAGTATTTCAGCATTGTCGTTGTCATCGCTTTTATTCTGGTCTGGACGGGAGATTTTGAGATTCCCCTTTTCCGAATCTTAAAAACGGCTCCTGTTCCTTCCTGGATGGTAAACTCGAAACAACAGCAGAATCACATTTGACCCGGCAAAACGGGAATTAATTGTAGAAAACGAATTGACGGTCTTTACGGTTGGTTACCGTTTCGTTTTCTGATGGCATGACAGGAGCTTCTCCTTCGAAACCTCGACACCGGCGCACAGTCCATCACGAGGCGCACATGGGTGCGGGAACCGTGACCCCAACGGGATCACCTGGAGCTTTTAGGCAGACAGCTGTTACTCAGTCATTGTGTGTTCGATGTAACTTTACCGTTGTTCCGCGACAACGTGAGGCGCCTATTATTGTTGGTGATCGTGGTAGTGGTGGTGGTGGTGTTGTTTGGTAGTGAGTGGTGATGTGTTGTCTGAGTGTGAGCGTGGGCGTTGCATCTACAACAAGTCATGTTGGGCATTGTCATCTACATTGTAACCTTCGTGTGCTTCGATATTGTCGAGTTGCTATCTCTAGAGCCGGGGACGGAAGGAGGGGTGGTACCAACGACGTTCTATACAACAGTCCACTGCTTGTTGTTTAGTGGTGTATGCTCTCCTTCGTTTTCGATCACTCATGGAAAGCACTGGATTCTTGGATGAGGCCTCCTGCCACGGAAAATAGACAAAAACATTTTACCCAAACTTCTTTCGGCGTTTTCTGCCGCTCTTCTCGTCTTGTATCGACGCTCGGGAAGAACCAAACTTTACGCGAATGTACCGCCTAGAACATGCACCAAACTCTTCCGCCCTTGACGGCAATCAATCCGCGCTCTCGTGTACACAGTGAAGTTGCCGCCTCCTGCTTTTGCGGGAGCGTTGGTTCGTCTGATTAATGAAATCCTTCGCTAGCGACTCTGTTTCCAGCGCATCGTGATTTGGATTGTCAAACCACGGTCGTTGTGCGAGGGGGGGGGGTATTCGCAAAGATCCCCGGCTGCCGTCGGCTGCCGGTACAGAAAGTCCCAACCGAAGTGTATTCCGCCTTGTTAGAGAGTGCCACCGAAGGCTTGACATCGGTAGTGTCTTGCCAAAGATTAAATAAAAGATTGATCAACCTCATCATCTGGCAACTGCAACAAAATAAACGTAATCTCAGGTTAAAAGGCAAATAAATGGAACCACGGCGCATGGTACTAGAAAAAAAACAGAGCGAACAACGTGGGTGGTATCCCCGGTAATGGAGAGTTTGGGCTAAGAGGTTCGGCCTGCTTGACCAGAACTCCGCCTCTTCGGACGCGAAAGCCAAACAATACTCGACTCACGTAGAGGGGATCATGAGTCGCAAGGGTTCCAAGACAGACTGACTGGACGGTGGGGCTCCCATGCATCTTCTTGTTTCGCCAATTGTTCCCGGAACGCCATATTTCTTTACTTGGAATGAAACCCTTCGGAACGATTTGGCGACACCCCGTATCGCACACGGGATGCTGGGAGGGACACTCTGCCCCCCCCCGTCGAGCCAACGCCTGGGCGCGACCGCTCGGGCACACCACCATCGCCCGTTGCCTTTTGCGAGTCCAGGAAACACAACCAATGAATGAAAAAGGGGTCGGCCGATTCCCAAGCTTTGAGCCCGTTCGAGGACGAGCGGACGAAGGCATCAAACGTCGCAGTACATCTCTTAGCCCCCAACCCTGGAAGCCTCTGTTTGGCACTTTGCCGGCGACGGGCTTTCAGACGATCGTGGTTGATGACGACGGACACGGGCCCAGCCTTTGATGGGGCAGCTTGGAAGGGTGAGGCTGGACCCCACATTTACTGCACGCAGTTTTCTAGCAGAGGTTGAACTGGGCGACGTTATCCGGTGCGGCACCGGGAGCAATCCGCAAACCGGTTAGATTCTCGGGGACTACATTAGCCTGTGACTGGGAGCCTGTCGTGGCGACATGCTGCCTGTCGCGGGCTGCAGAAACATGACCACCAGAAAAGAAAACAAAACGTCGAAGCAGACAAAATTACAACAACATTCATATTTATTTGCCAAGTTTATTTGCAGGCGGATAGATAGGCGACGGGATGCTGGAGTAACTATATGCGGGAGTTCAGCTACGCGCCGGAGGGGGCGTACGTAACGTGTCCGAAGGTCTTGCTTCGTGTGCACCTTTCTTCGTCCAAAGCGCGGGCAACGTCAACAGGGCTGGAGGTAACCTCTGGGTCTCGGCCACCGAAAGCAACCCGGTCCGCACCAACCTCGTCGTCGCAACAGTCCACCCGCCTACTACACCGCCTACTACACCGCCGATCGTAGTATGTACGCTAGGGCGGCACGAATGATGATGGTGATGGCGGCGGCGGTGCGTGTGGAGCGGCTACATACATAGAGACCGGTCCGAAGCCAAATCAAGATCGCTGGTTGTTTTCTCCTCTTCCATCGTTATTCATGTGCAGGTGTTCTCCTCCTCCGATCCCCCCCAAAAGCGAAACCGTTCCACAGTCAAAGTACAGGAAACCATCTTCCGTGGTCACACGCAAACCCAAAGACAAGCTACTACCAGAATTGTCAAAAACGACTCGCTCGCGAAACGAGTTCCCCAGCCTTCAGCCAAAACATCCAGCATCTAGCCAACTCAAAAACTTCCCCGCAGACGTTCGAAAAAACTTTTCCATCAGGCGATCAGCAGTCTGAAGCATGGAGCACTACATCAACCCGCCGCTAGCCCGCTCAACCACCGGCAAAACGTAGAAACCGTTGTGGCAAGTTGAAACCGACACACATCCGACAGTACATCCAACTCTTCCACGCATAATATACCCAAAATCTCCAAATATGACGATGTTAGCCCCTTCCGTACATCATGTGACGGAAAGACCCCAAAGGTCGCAGGTAGCTTAATTGTTCCCGCTTGCATCCCACTCTTCCAACATGCATAAAATTACTTGTCATCCACAACAAAAAGGGGTTTGAAAAAATCCGGGAAAAAAAACGAACAGCCCCAACAACTGATGGAGGCGGACACACGCACTTGATTCTTTCAGACCCCGAGGAGGAGAATTCATAATATAGACACCATACCCCCGCCCCCCCCAAAAAAAAAACGAAAGGAAAAGGCTGAAACTCCCCCCCCCCCCCCCCCCCCCCAACGCCTCTCACTACTGATTTATCTGTCGACGTCAACATGTCGCAGGTTTTCAGACTGATCTCTCACCCTTGTGGACAACCCGTCATCAGCAGGCAGAGCACATTCCCCCCACAAGCAATTAAATAAATACAAACACAAGAATATTATACCGCTTGCAGGAGGTGGAAAAAACGACTGTGTTCTTGAGTAAATAATAAGAAAAATTCACCGCCGCCCGTCTATCCCAGGTACGTCCATCCCAGGTACGTAATAAAAAGCATCACCAACTGTAGCACAGAAAAACTGTAACAAAACGCTTACTAATTCATCGTATCGATGAACAAACACCTATAATGAAGAAACAATTTTACGGCACCCTTCGATTCGCAGCAGAAAAAAGACCAAGGAGGCTTAGGTGCACCCTCGTCGTAGCTAGGGACGATTAGAGAACCATCTGAGAAAGGCTCCAACATCAACCACCCCGGAAAAGCACAGCCCGCAAACCGGGCGCGAGCGCGCCAAGAAAGGAGGAAGCACAGCCATATTCCTCCGACAAGGTGGGCGCGGTCCCTTTCAAAGCGGGAAACAGTGTCCCGAACGGGTGCAAGACACATTGATCTACCGAAGCCAAGCTATTTACTCCTTGTTGCATCCTGTCTCCACTGGTTGCGAAACGCAACTGTAAATTTCTTTCGACTCCCCGCGTTCCTCCGCCCCATACTCCCCGCCTGCC